ATATTAAATCTGAGGTTAGGACAGTAAAATACTCAGTGCCACAAGGATCAGTGCTGGGCCCATTCTTGTTCTTGTGCTACTTGGGAGGGATGCCAAAACATTTATTTGAACATGTAGAAAATAATACTCTGTGCTTGTATGCAGATGACATAAGTATGTCGATTTATGATAAGAATATGGAGCTTCTTATAAATAAAACTCATGATTCACTCACAATAATTAAAGATTACTTGAATGAAAAAAATCTTTTACTAAATGAAAATAAAACAACGTTCATTGAGTTTAAATCTAAAAAATCTAGAAAAGAACTGTTTAACAATTTTGTTTATGAAACTAAATTTTTAGGCCTCACCTTAAATAGCACACTTAATTGGACCTCACATGTTGACAACTTATGTAATAAAATCAGCTCAAGTATTTTTGCTATTAGACGCTTATATCCATTATGCAACAGAGAAATCTTAAGAAAGGTTTACTTTGCTACTATTCACTCACATATTTCTTACGGTATAGAAATTTATGGAGGAACAAGTAAATTAAATTTAAACAAAATTTTACATTTACAAAAAGAAGCCATTAGGTGTATCCTTAATCTCGATATAAACGAATCCTGTAAAAATCATTTTAAAGAATTAGAGTTCTTTACCGTTTTCAGTCTCTATATTTATAAGACGATAATGTATGTTAAAAATCATGAATCAGAACTTCAAAGACAGAAAGACGTACATAATTATAACACTAGAAACAAACTAAACTTCATAACTAAAAAACATAAAAAAGAAAAAATTAAAGAAGAGTCCTAATTATATTGGAATCAAATTCATGCATTCCCTCCCCAGCAGTATTAGAAACGAAAGTAGCGTAAATAAATTCAAAAATAAACTTAAGGGGTTTTTAATTTATAGCGAATTTTATAGTTTGGAAAGTTTTGAACACTGTAACAAAAAATCTGTATGACTAATCAAGTAGGGAAGTAGGTGAAATCATGTGAAGTAGTTTTAGGTTGAAGACACATTCATGTACACTTGTTGTATGTATTGAATAAAGATTTATTGATTGATTGATTGATTGATATATTTTGATTTGGTTTGATTTGATTTGATTGATAAAGGTTATCAAATTATACCCAACTTATCTCTTTGATACGCGAATTTGAGTTATTCAACCATGAAACAGTAAATGTTGTAGATTCATATGCATTATTATACAGTTCTAATTTTCAAACGAATTTTTGTAAACTAGTCTGTGTAATGTGCAAAAAGTTTGCAGGTAAGGGTTATGTTTTCTCTGAAAAAATACCTACTTCCAGGTCTGAATAATAAAGAGGCTTAATACATATTTTAAATGTACTATTAAAAATAATGATGTAGTTCAGCTAATTTCAGCTTTATTATACACTTATATTTGAGAATCAAATAATAATAATGCAGTACCCATAAGACCATAACTAATACAAAACTTTGTTAAACTACGAGCTATCGAAAGTAATAAAACTCTAATTGGTTTATACTTTCTAGAATAACACTGTTACAGTGTAAAAGGTGCGAGGAGAATTTCCAGGTAATCTAGGAATATCTCTGAACAACAAGCGAAATAGCGGATAAAAAGAAGTTTCTCTTGTCGTTTTCCCAGTTAAGACTATTTGGAGCTGCAGGCAATCTTGGCCCTGGATTACTTTAAGGTTTCGTCGAGTCGTTCTATGTAGGCGAGTAAGCCTGTGTTTCCAAATACACTTTTTTTGTAAGCTTCTTACATGCTACATTTATTACTTAAGTGTATACTATTATTGAGTGACTGGTATAGTTTATCAATCATTTTTTGTAATATATTATATATGGTATTTACGTGGTATCACTTTCGGTACAATTTCTTTTTGCAAAGATTTATAATCCTAGATTAATTTGCCGGTAACTTTGTTTTTTCATAACAAACTATGACACATTAACTGCACCAAGTAGTAACAGCACACACCTATAAATCTAAAGGATGTCGTATCGATTCCGAGTGGCATCTTTAGTGGACCCGTGTGGATATTTAAAACTTGTATAATTTTTCTTTAGGCTGTCTATTCCATTACAAAACATAAATGATACCATTTGTGTTGAAAGACACATACAAATAAAATCACAACTCAATGGTGTAGCATATGGAAATAACGCAGTAAAAGAATTTACAGAAAACACTTTTTTATCGTTATAAAACCATATCTAGGTCTTTGATAAAATTTGGTGCGTCATTTGGGTAATGAAAGATAGATTACCCACTTGGCAAGACTCGCAAAGAAATGTTGTTCACTATAAGAGTCATTGTTTCTTATTAATAATTAATACAAGTATCAGCTAAATGGCCGTGTGACTGTTTTGTGGTACGTGTCCACCATTTATTGAAAATTTACAGAAATAAAAACTAGCAAAACTGATACAAACCTAGATCAAACAAATCCAATTTGAAATGATATACATTTTACTTACCTACTGCTGTTGGATCAAAAAAATTAAGAACCACTAACTGCATACCTTTTTCGTGACATTGCCTGGATCTTATTGAACAAAAGTTGGATCCCGGAATATTATTTTTTTGCAAAGAGAAAATATTTGTTAATTTTAGGCAAACATATTTTACTATTTATAAGATATAATTGAAGGGGACGTCATATGTAAACCTAAGAGCTAGTAAAATGATTTTGGCACTTAGACGCGACATAAAAAAAGTACATTCACAACAAACTGTTAAGTTGTGAACCAACACCCTTATTATGCACAAATTAAGTGTGTCCATCGAGAGATATTTCATAATTTAAATCCAGTATTACGTCGTTTTTCTGTTTTGCAGCTCTTAATTATTCGATTGTCCGATAATTAGCATTTGGTTTGGAGCAAAGGAAGAAAACGGCTCGTCTCTTTTGATAAAGTACACCTCAACTTATGAATTGTTTGATAAAGGGTTTAAAGAAGGAACCATGATTTACTTCTGGTCTCGAAAGGGCTTTAATCAGGAGATCAGCAAAGTCGGGATATCCACAGGCCTCTGGATCAGATCTTATTATTGCTGGTTCCACCCGTTCCACAAGACTTTTTCTAGTCTTTGTCGTGTGACAGGATAATTGTTTGCAATCATTTATACCTATGCTTACTATGCTTAATTTGATTAAGTTTTGTGAATTAGTTTACAAGTTTTTTGTTTACTATTATATAATAGATGGATACAAGTAGAAAGTATCCTTGATAATTTAATTGATGAAATGAAGAGATTTTTTTAAAATTTCAATCTAGTCTTGCATGACATAAATAACTTCCTTTAGACTATTTAGCTTTAGAATCTGTATTATTTCTACTCTTAATGCAACAAAACCATATTAAAATAGTTACAAGCGAATCCGCTTGTTTCTTATTAAATTTTCAAAGAGGTATAAGTATTTGCGATCAGAATGATGTGATAATGTATTTATTAAAACAAGTCATTTTGGTTTTTACGTGAGACGGTTATTAATATTACGTTTATGTTCATTACGGTTATGTTTACGGTTATAGTTACATTATGCAAGCTGTTGTTGCATTTTTATAAATAAAAAAACCTTTCTTTTTTCTCTTTATTCCTGAATAAATGTTGTTTGTTACAAATTGTGTTTGTACAGGAAAAATAATTCCCAAGTAGACTATTCGTGTGTGTTTGGGAATAAACTATACGAAGATCCCTACTACTATGTGTTTATTGTGCATTTTGCCACCTTTTTTGGTATCTTCAGGGGTCTTGTGAGTAATTAATATTCTTATCACTAACACTCGGCCTATAGAATGTATTAACAAAAATATTAACTCATACGCCGTCACTAGTATTGCGCACGGGTCGATAGGACAACTTGATGACGGACACGCGACGAGTCACGGTGGTAGGTCTTTCATCCTCCTTTTCATTTTTTGGATTGTTAGTGGTTTGGACTTTCCTGGATTATGGTTGGGCGGGTGCTTTGACCTCAGTAGGTTTATTGCTGTGTATCCATTAAATTGTATTTGTAGCGTCAGCTGATGACGTTGTCATAGCAACGCATTAAGTTAGTCTGATCTTTGTTTTTCTACAGGAATGTACACACAATTTAACTCTTATTAAAATACTTTTCTATTACTTATTTGGTCGTAATTTTATTCTATGTACACGAACAACCACGACCAAATATTTAATCACAGCAAATCCAACGCAAAGAGCCTAAATACCAAGGTTGATTCAATTGTTGTAGATTGTTCGGTTGTGGAAATACTTGAATAAGATATTTGGCAAATAAAGTAATTTCATACACAACTTTTGACTTATAAAAAACTTTATTACCTTCTTAAGTAAACCTAAGAACTCATTAAATGTTATGTTGCTTAAATAGTTCATACATTTGTCTTATTACGACTTGTCTTATAAAAACGCTTAGTCTGCAAGGTCGCTACGGTGGATTTATTAAAAGATTGCATAGGAAAACATTTTAAAACCTTTAAACTTAACGTTAGTATTTAATAGGAAAATATGCTAGCTATTTCAACACTAACTAAAACATAGAGGAAGAATATGATAATATACTATTATTATTCATAAAGTTTGGTTTAATTTGGTTGTTGTGTCAGTATTAACATCGAAGTGTTTGCCGAACAAGCCCTACCATTACAAGGGTATGTCCAATGTCGTATCTACATCTCTATTGGTTTACCGGGGTATAATCAACACAGACACACAAAGGGGATTGAGAATTAACAGTAATCAAACTAGGTCCAAGTACAAACTGGCAGAGACGTGTCGTTAGTAGGATCAGTTGTGTATTGAGGTCACGTGATAACCGACAGATGAATAGCATTGAGCGCAATCAAACTTTGAAAGAGCTGCCGTTGTCCAGGTGGTGCGATAATACAGTTACAATCAATTTCTAACAACCACCTGTAGAACGCGCGCATGTCATCGGCCGGTGGGTGGTGGGGGGTGGTAGGCCGGTGGTGGGGGAACGCTACACCCTCAGTCAGTGGCGTGCGGGCGACAGTCAGTGCATCGCAGGCGTTCTGCCCGGAGTGTAAACCACATGTAGGAATACCGAGAGCTAGAAATGTAAGTAGACGATAGTGATTTACAAGACAACTGATAAGGTTTGAAGAATAGTCTTGATTAGATAGATAAAATTCATTTATTTAATGCCAATAGATCGAGTTCAAGACTGTATACTGTGTATCGGATGTTTTTTTTTTTTTTTTTTTTTTTTTTTAACTAAAACATATAATATTTTAGATACTTATACAACATTTCCAAATAAGTACTATCTGGTACCTTGAAGGTTTTTTTTTATTTCGTGTAGGTATCATTATACGCCTGTGACATTTTAATTATTTTTTTACCTTTCCAAACCTTGGTCACGATACTAGATAGCATGTTCAATATTGATACCACAATTACTCTTATGGGCATCAGGTTCCAGTTGAGGTCTCGCTCGGAACCGAACTAGCAATCTTCAGATTTAAAGGCCAGCACTAAAAATATTCAGCAAATCCTGTTATATTTTTTAGTTTGGTTAGAGAGTGAAAATGTACCAATTGATGTAGATGTTAAACTCATAACATTTTGCTTATTGGCGTAATTATGAATACCTATTCATTATTTAATTTTGGTTTGGCAAGCTGAGAATGCATTTGAAATACAATCCGTACAATATCACGTCCACAAAATAAGAGGGTTCATTGGCATTTTCACATTGTCATGTTTTATAGAGACGTTTAAAATTAGATGAGTTATTAAACCATAATACAAAATGTGGAAATTGTATGTATCAGTGTGTTTTTATTATTAGGTTAAAACACTAATGCAAGAGTAATGTCATAGTTTTAACTACCCAACTATTCTAAATTTAAAGCTTCGAACCAGCAATAATATCGCATTAAGTAAGTCTCCTAAGAACTCTAGCATAACTTAAAGTTACATAAGGCAAATGGTCCTTTTATTTTTCCATATCTATATCATCTTTTTCTTATCTTATTTCAAGGAAAAAATATTTAGCATTTTTTTAGTCAGAACGATTTGTTAATGAAAGCACCTAAAATATTTAATACGCTTAATTGAGACACGTATAGTGTGACCAAATAAATATATTTTTACAATGCAAACTAGTTTCATAAGACTTTAATGTATAAAATAAAATATGCACTTCAAAACATATCTTACAATATACATACGAAGAAGGAGAAGAAACTCATTAGGGTGACAAATTCTACAAAGAAACAGTCAAAAGGAGCAATCTTAGCGTTTCTGCTCTTATCTCGTACAGATGGTGGTATGCTAGAGATGCTATGGAAATTGAACTTTCCCCTCCCACTCCCCACCATTTCACCAACGACATTGTTATCAAAAATCTGCATGATTATAACCACTGGCGTCTTTTGTTGCGGATTGGTTCTTTGTGCTTTCTACTGAAAGAAAACTTATATTTAGTTAAATACCCAGGACTATTTTCTGCATCAGTACAGCAGTTGATTTTTCATTTTAAAGTTTAATGTTTACTATAATTATATAAAAAAAGGTTTTGTAGAATTAGGCTGTTAAGTAACATTTATGTTGTACATTGGTCTTCAAATTGAATGTTGTTATCAATAAATAATATAATGTTCACTTCAGTTATACACGAAGCACAATATTGCATCTCAATTGTAAAGATAAATATGGCTTACTTAATTGGATCTCAAAAAAGTTGTGTGAAGAGATTATTTCCTACACAAAAAAAAAAAAAAAAATAATAAAATGACCAAAGAAAAGTTGTATGTTTATACATTTTTAAAAGACATTGCTATTGACGCAGTACTTTTAGCATAGTTGTGGTTGAGTCATTGACCGAAACTCAAACAAAAGAATGTTTTGGTTTGATTTTGAGATAACTTTTTTGACTCAGTGCACATTTTACATTTTATGTTCAATGATGATATTGTCAATACAACTTATTAATCAAGCTTCGGTTGTTGTTATGTTGTGCCATTTCGTGATTAATAAAACTAGCATTAATTTAAAAGATAATGCACAACTCATTAAAATAATTGTTTAACAGACTATCAGTACCAGCAACGGGCCGTGTACAAAATTAGTTAGGCAAGTTGTTTTTTGTACAGTTTACATTTTATTATAAGTTTTAGTATTTTGTCATGCAAAGCGAATTTAAACTATATGTAATTATGACCAATTCAAGAATAATGGTGGAACGAAAAACTAATTGAACAATGTTATGTTGAAGTATACATGTAAGTATAAAACAAGGCAAAGTATACTATCTGTGCTATTAATTGACAAAATGGTTGTAAAATCTTAATTAATATACAGTATTCTTTTATGAAAGTACTGGTGGAAAACTATGTTATTGTACTGTACTGTGCATCTTTTAACTTCACGTGCGCAGATTTTTCTTAATACTTTTAATTTTTCATAAGAGTAATCAGGATCAATCGAAGGAAAACCCAGAACTGAACTAATGGTTTTTAATAGTGGCAATTTAAAAGTTATCATAGAATCTGCACAACCTAATAATGGTTAACGTTGAACAGGTTGAACTAAAATATTATAATTCAATATCACTGGAAAGATAAACTATGAGCTGCACTATTCTGTTAAACAAATTAAAAAGTAGAAAAACTGCCAATGTGACTTTGATAAACACAAATAAGCAATAGTTTGGCGAGTTAACTTGCGCACTGTTCGTTGCACTGAACACACACAAAGCTGAAATGCTATTGTTGTGTTTGTTTTATGTCTCCAAAATAATTGTTGCAGCACATGGTGCAACTCTGTTTATAATTTAGGGTCAGATTGTTGCAAATGCTTATGCTTTTGATCTCTTATGGCAAGAACCAAAATATAAATTGTTTATTAATATATTAAATAAAAAAGCATGGTGTTTGGGCAAGTGACCTAGAATATATATAGAAAAATCTCAACACATTGATTTAATATGTCAAACATACAAAAATACCTTTGAAATTTAGCATTTGCTTTTAAAACAATTTGTAGAATTTAGTTTGTTCTACCAACCATATACGTTGTTGAATAGTAGCCAATGGCTGAAACCAAAGTGACTCAATTTCGTATCATACAGTATGTAGATAAATATATATTGTATATATTGTTATGTATATTGTAAGACTACAAAACAGATTTTTATTGTATGAACTCACATTAGAATTAGAATACGTAACTAATGAAATTTTGTAAAATAAAAACTTAATTGCCCGTCAATCAATACGGATAATACGTCCTAGAAACCTAATTGGAAAATGGATAATTTGTTTCGTCCATAGAACTGATAACTGTTCTTTTTATACTAACCGATTGTAGTTGCGATTACGACAATCACTAATTGCTATTACAATAATCACCAATAGATCATCGATTTATTTGAAACAGTGATTGAATATGTATTTGTAATGGACAAAACAAGTAGAATATTTGCAACATGTTATTGTATTATAGAGAATACGGTGCAAAAGTCAAATGATCGCCGCTAAACGAATCCCACCGGAGTGTTCAAGTTGAAAAAGTAACCAGGTCAACTGAGGAAATTAACTGTTGTTCCCTGAGCAATAAATGGCTACGACAGTGCTTCTGTATTGTTCGTTTTATTATTTGCAATCAAAAATATCACACCTATTATACAAAATGCAGTATACCTGTAACTAGGGAACAACTAGAATCATTGTACAATCATCCTGGACAAGGATTCAATTACTTTCATTATGTGCACATCTGGCTGGTTAATTAGTTTAACCGTTTCACTGTGTAACTTAAACGAATTACCATTCCAATATTCTCTTAGCAGAGGTCTGTAAACGCTAATGCTACTTTAATACCTTTCACTCCGGTTTAACATGATTAAAATGTTGCTTAACACGAAATTACCTTAACATATGAAGAGTTATAAACAATTTAATATAATTATCATACATAACAGTATTGTTAAAGGCTTGAAAATGTGTTAGGCATAAATCGAAAGTATCCTGAACTAATTCGTTCATATGAAAAACAAAAAAAGTTGTTATATGTATATTTACAAGTCTACCCTCTTTTATTTAATTTTTATCGTAGGTTAGGCAGCAAGAGACTCCAATGAACTCAAATATTTTGCTCCAACGCGTGTTTATATTCATTCCCTAGCAAAATAAAGTAGTTTTAATTCATTGAACATGAACAAATAAACAAGTAATGCGAACCCGAAACATAAATATAGAGAATGTTGTATAATCAAAGTCTTTAAATACCATTTATTGTGATTTATCCTGAAAGATATTTTATGAAACGCCATGTTTCGTATTGGCGATGCAATGTATTCTCTGTGAAATAGCAGAAGCCATTCACAAGCGATTTGGAGGCAGTAATTCACCCGCAATGTTGATATCGCCACCCTGCTGGCAGAGGTTTCCCTGATAAACCATTCCAACACACTGACCACATGTCGGCCTCTCTTTGTCATATCCGTTCGATTTTATTTCGCATTTTACATTCAAATGTCATCTGCTACAAAACACCGCACAGCACTTCAGCCTTAAATTTACTGAACGTCAATGGAATACAATTACTAAAGCGTTTTACCAGATGGATCTTATATTACTCTAGTTTTCAGTGCAATAAAATCAATAAAATTATACAGAATTTTGTTGTATGTATCTGTCAATAGTAAAACTACTCAAAAAAAGGTGATTTTCGTAAAATGCATATACATTGTGAGTGTACATGTAAACGTGTTACGTAGTTTTAAATCGTAATCTAAAGTAAAAGTTGTTTATAAGAATTGGTAATGATATTGATCTACAAGAAGCAGTTTTCAATTTATTTCTATGGTTGATAAACAAAAACATCTGATTTGTTGTATATTCCCACTATTGATATCATTCACATTTTATATTTTTAATAATTTCAGTAGATCACAGACAATTTACTGCTCACTTGACGTGTATTGAAATATCCCTTGTTCGATTTCTCTTTCCAAGCAATGTTGGGAATTAAGTGGTTTCAAATCGTATCACTTTTAAAATTTTCATAAACCATCTCTACAATTTTAAAATAAGAATCGCAAAATGGTAAGATACAACAACGTGCTATTACTTACAAAATGTGTAGTGAACACCCAATAATCAGGGGAGGCCCAGCAACATTAAAAATAATTTCTAAAAGAGATAATAAGAAAACTGCAAAATTGGCAATGCAAAAGATCCCCTCCTCCATTCAGGGTTTTAAAAAGGTTTTAATCCAATAGTCCATGGTTTTACTTATTTAAAAAATATTCTATAGCAAATGTAACAATTTAGAGAAATTAATTTTGCATTATTTACTATACGATTAGTTAGCTATCCAACCAAACATTAAAAATACGGTATTATAATCTCATTAATTTGTGTACAAAGGTGTAAATAGGTATACATAGGCATAAATCCTCAGTTAACATAAATAAATAGTTATAAATTCTGCATTGATTATATTATTAATGTTTACCATTTGTTAACTCTTCGCCAACTACAAATGATCAATTTTATCCCATAGGAACCACGTAACGTATTCAGTAATGTTACACTTTGTTAAACTACAAAAATAAACAGCAATATAAATTTACGAAAGGTTGAGGTTCAGTGAATTCCCAGAACTAATCTTTAATAATGTAATTACACAGAAGAGAGAGTTCTTGGTAAACAGGAGAAGTTAAGATAATAACCTTAATTAATTAGACAAACTGCAATCTCTAGAGAGGGACAAACAAATACTTACTACCGTCTCTTGAGGAATGTTCTCTCAAAAACACTCTTGTTTGAGAGGAGGAAGTGTTCCGCTGGTTTATTTTTACTCTTTCATTAAACAATGTTTACAGTTTAGTACATCTGAAAACTTTAATTATCAAATTACTTTTTGTAAAGATATATTCCTAAACAGAGACAGTTCACCCTTACTATTTCTTAGATTCCACCTTTTAAATCATCTTTACTATATTGCATTTCTTACTTAGTAGTTGATCTACCCTAGGAACTACTTTAAACACTCTAGTGTTACTTTTAAATGTGATCTAATATCTTAAATGGAGGGTAATAGTGGTTTATAATTTAGCCCAATTATAAAACTTTCCAAACTTGAATAAAAGTACTAAAAGAGCTTAAACTGAATAGAATGAATAGTATAATTGAAGTTAACCAGGGAAACTAAACCATGCTCACTTTATTATAGTATAAAAGTGCACGTTTTGGTTTAAATGATAATTTCCACAGGACTTGACTAAAAGGAGATATTTAATGCGCCACGGAAAAAGCTTAAATCTAAAACCAAATAAATAGACACTTTATTTTAAAACTCTTTACAAAAGAAGAGTATCAGTACAAACCAGAGGTATCTATCTCCTCATCACAATATGACATGGTGGTCATTTGAATATGCATCGAAAATACATTTACCTGGGTTCTCTCTGAGGCTGGTGAAAAAGTAAAATGATCACCATCATATTTATATTGGTCATATCAAATTGATCATATTGGGTTGAGATACAGCAGTTTAGTTTTATCTGACTTTCTTTCAAAAATTTGATACTGTAAAAATTGCACTTTTAGGAAATAAATAGATTTGCAGTATTGAATCTTTCTTAAAAAAATTCTTTGAAATGTCGAGGGGGTATCCACCATACCTTCTATAACCCCATAATAGCAAAGGACTTTTTCTAATAATAAATAAAAACATCAATGATCTGACTCATAGTTGATTGACTTGAAATTGAGAAATTTTCATATTTTCAATGTATAACATATATGTTTAACGTATATCCACATGATAAACAAGTATAGTAGTTTTCTGATATGAAATTTTATTAGCAAAACATCTCATAGTCATAATTAATGGAACTAAACAACTATTGATTCAAATTGGCAAATTGAGAGCAGATATATGGTCTAATCACCATAATTTCATTGATCCATAAAACACAATATTTCATCAATAACTGGAGATCAAATACGCATTTACGAAACAACAAATCGGAGAGCACAGTCCGTGCGTGAACGTTATTTTCCAATTATAAAGGGAATGAAACATTGCTAAAACAGCAAACGCCAGAGAATCGTTAAACTGCAGATTATTCTGATATTGTGTCAGATAGATTACTAAGTCAACGAATTGATAATTTTCCATTAACTGTGTTAATAGAAAACCAGTACATCAGTTTGACCAATTGATTTAGGATTGTTATCAATGAAAAGTAAATAGTATGACATTCACGTTTCTTTTTATTTGGAATTAAAGTTAGTATGTAAATAAAGGTTTTAAATTTGTAAAATTCTATAACTGACTAACGATAATTATTTTTTCACGTAATACAGTTTATGTATACATTTTTAGGTTTCGTTATTTTGTTTCGATGTAAAAAGGTTGGCTATATTTATCCATTGCCAGGGTTAGGTTTCGACTGTTTAGTGAAATGCTGATTATTTACATATCACATCTAGTTTTAATCATCCCTTATTAATATTATGCAACATATATTTCAATTACGTCAAACAATATTTTTATTCTTTATTGAGTAAAAATTTAAAACTTAAAAATCTATTATTATAACCTCCCTGGTTTTTCTATATCACAATTTGCAGAGAAAACTTAGAGACTTTTTAAGTTCTTTGACTTCTGCATCGTTTTGTTATTGTAACTTACTGGTACTTCTCTTCATATTAATTTTAATTGTAGTAGATATTTGAACTGTTTACTTGTTAGCTTCAATCTTTATGAAAAAATACGTTAACGTAATAATTTTTTATACAGTTCTATAAAAATTGTACGCTATCCCAAATTACTGAATGGCCTACTATATAGTATAACTGGAAAAAAAATCACCTCTCTTTTTAAAATAGCTAGGCTCAGTTTCCACACTTAACCTATTCAATTTCTCGATTCCTCAAAAATATATTTCTTTGTTTTCCACAACAAAATACTGATTTTTGGTTCACAGGGTATGGTTACAAGAGAAGAACAACTCAAAGCAACATCGTGACGTCACGAGTACGTATCTTCAGCATGCTGTGAGGCAGCCATCTACGTCACAACTACGTCGACCCTTCATTGGCCAGTGATGCTTCGAGACCATGTGTGCCAATTTGCTACTGCACCTAGCAATTGTCATAGCACTCTGCATATATTGTGGTCAGTAGCGAGTTGTTTAACTGTAAAATGTTTAAATTTATTGTTTAACTTTTTAAAACTATTTCTAGGAGTAAATTTTGTTCATAATCGTCAATTGTCATACCTGTCAATGAGTCTCCATCTTAAGATTTCTCATCATTTTTTAATAGCATCTAATGATACATTTAGCACTAATCTACCATTTAATGATACATGAGTAACAATTCTGTCCAACAAAGACTGTCTCAAGGCAGATAAGGTTACTTTGTGACATGTAAGATAATATGCATGTTAAACTTGATAAGACTGTTCTATAGCACCTTAGGGGGCCAGACTATCAGATTTCTACCCAGTAGTTTGCATCGCTTTAGAGACGTTCTCTGAACAATGTTAGAGAAACATATTACAAATATAAATTTACAAGAATGTTACAACTATATAATCAGCCTGATATAATTTATTTTTATTTTTGATTGTGAATATCACAGAAATTAAAAATACGTTTTGACATTAAATGCTTTGCACATATGTAAGTGTGTATAAAATATGTAAATAAATTATTATTTCAATTAGGAAAATATTTTCTCTAAGAGTAAAAAGGTGAATGAATAGCATGACGTATCATTATGAAAACAACAGGCTTTAGGATGTTCATGGTAAAGATTTATAACATTACCACGTAATTTAACTTTTACTTCTATTCATTCATCTTATACTCATTTTAGAACTCTGTTATTTATAAACACGTTTTACTCGTGTGTTATTTTCGCACAAGTCTGCAATGCTCAAAGACTTTACTATATTTCTACAACTCAGTGACTATCTTCAAATAGTTTTATGTGGTATTTAATCCGTCTCACTCATAGTTTTTTCTCTTTGATCCGTGCTTTATAAATGGTTTCAAAATTGGTCCTAGTAATGACTGGTATGACCGGTCAAAATAAATGACCATTGTAAGTCTTATAATGTTCAATGTATACGTTTTAATATTCAGACACGTTTACATATTAAATAGGAAGACGTAGATTAACTACAAACAACACATTTATCCACATAAATAGTTTGTAATAACAAAACGTCTGACTTACATACGAACTATATCACTACATGTTCAATCATTGATGGGGATCTCAAAAAATTAAATTTGTATATATATTCAGATACAGCCTCACTGCACAGCACAGAGTTTGCTGTTCAATGAATTGAAAGTGGTTGTACACAGTCTACAAACATTTTCTCTAATACACAATAACATGTTAATATTCACTTAAACTCCTTTTTTATTGTTTGTAAACGTCCTTAAACGCTGGAACTTCTAAATATTTGCTTATTGATCATATACAACCCATGTTTGCAGAGATTGAAGGTGTCCAGATCACAGGCCTGTTTGTGCCTCACGAGGTCCAGAATGGCAGCGACCACGTGTTGTTGGACTGCGAGTACTCTCTACGACCTGAGGAGTTACAACCGACGTCAGGCCTGGTCGTCAAGTGGTTCTATAACAACAGTCCGGCACCTGTGTACCAGTGGATCCCTGGCAACAAGCCCCAGGTACCATAGAATAATAGTTTTCACAACACGGATAGATAACAGGCGTGCAAGTGATTATGATTGCTGTACGATATTTATCGCGCATCCACTGGATGTTTATTAAGATGCTAAAGGGGTGGAAATCTAATAGAAATTGTTTTTAATGTTTGGGTTCAACTATAACACATTTCAGACAATGAAACTTACTTAAAACCATATTCGTCCATAGTTTAAATATTCAGTAATCAACCAAGTCCGAGTGAGTTATGCTGCAACAACGTGAATGTAATTACTGAACGTATAAAGTAAAATGCAAACGCTGGAAATGCTGGTTAGAAATCCTTACTTACTCGCCATTGAAAACCTAGGCCTTATTTGGTTTCTCCAATCATGTGCCACCAGGATCCTCTGTCTTCTGCCACCTCAGGGCAGTAACTATTTCGAATTATAAATAATCGTTGGATCTAGAAATAATGAAAAAATTAACTTTATATTTCAAGAATTGTTTTAGTTAGAAAAAGCATTACATAGAGTTTGAAGAATAAGAATGTCACTATGTAGATGATATTGTTTTGTTATACATATTTTTCCCTGGAAGACAAGTTGTGGATCGTTTTGATATACTGGTACCCTGTTGTGACTAGGTAATAGAATGTAAACTTAAGGACTTGAGTAATTTCCTCAAGAAAATTCATTGAAAAAAATTCTTGGAATTATGCTTGGGGATAGACTACACCGTCAAAGATGACACAACTGTTCTAGCTTGCATTACTTGGTTATTTTTTTACGGTTCTGGTCACTCAAGTTGTATATGAGGTGATGTGTCTCCTATCTATTCGCCCTGTAGGACCTCGGTGTCCTCAAGGGCCGTCTCAACCTGGAGCACCGAGCCTCACAGCACAACGGCACGGCCCACCGCGCCCTCTACATCCTTCAGCCTACCACGGACCTGTCCGGGGAGTACAAGTGTGCAGTTTCCACCTTCCACGAGGAGGACTTCATGATCAAACGCATGCTTGTATACGGTACGCAACATTATAAATACATTTAGAGTAATCAAAAGGGTTCTCGGCTCAATATTGAGAAATGCCAAAGTAACTTTGATTTTAAGAAACTGAAATAAGCTATCCTTGTTCAATAGTATTTAAATACATAAGTGTGAGATAGGAACCAAAATATCTTGGTTAGGAATAAAACTGTATCCTCATTAATTCAACATTTACTTATCTTTGCCTTAAAAGCTGTGTTATAAAATGTGTAGGCGTCTTATTACTCTCATCTTATCGAATAAGACAACTATTAGATCAACATCAAAGTGGTGTGTGTTTAGAACTCTATCTGGTCCTCGAAGGATATAATACTGGGGTGATAGAAGCCAAAACCCAGATAATATCCTTTAAGTCAGAGCAGTGACTGAATATTCTTGTATGCACTCAATGTATCAAACTACCCAGAGGGTCAATCACAATACCAAAAAGCATTCACTTTCCACTTTAAAAGCATCCATTTCACATTTTCAGTGGAAAATGTTTTCCATCATAATATATACGAGCTGTTGGCCCGTCCTACGTACGGGAATCGAGTAGTCAATTAAAACTGTATATAGTGTGTCTATTTCTAATTCAAGCATAGTTTAAGCAGTTAAAAATTTGTAATAAAAAGCAAAAGCTGCCAAGATGAATTAAAACATGGGATCATTGTTATTTTCCCAACCTTTCCTCAAAAATTCGAGTAGTAAATAATTTTCATAAATTTCTTTTGAAAATTCGTGAGCTTCAATTTGTATTCAGCAATGGTTATAGAATCTTACTTATTTCCAATAATCAATGACAAAATAATAGTAAATAAACTAACCTCATAGTTCAATAGAATATTTATTTATTCAACCAGCTGTAAGTTATAACATATATATATATATTGCACAAAAAACTAAATAATACAAAGACTGCTAAAAAAAAATAGTTAGAACATAGAGTATTTTACTATGTATATTTAAATAATATCTCATCCTCTTACCGAATAAAAGAACGTATCAATGTTTATAGCATTACACATAGTATAAATAAGTCAATAATACGTAGGCCTATGTTATTTCATTTTCATCCAAATGCTGAATTTATGTCGAAAGTGCTGAATGTTTAACTGCTTAACTGTTAGGATAAGCAAATTGTATTATAACAAAAGCTAGAGTAGAATGTTAGTGTCGTCTAATAGACTTTTTAAATTTTAAAACTTAATTTCTAAAAACTAGTACTCTAAACTAAAATTATGGCTTCGACATTCCCTAGTTCTCAAAATTATATTTCTTTCAACACAAAAATCATGGAAATCCGTCAAGTGGTTGAATCAGAATCGTGAAATAAAAAAAAACCTGTCACGTTTTAATATATATGATGGTCTCATCTAAGTAAGAATAGAGCATTCAGATTCATGAAAGCAAGAGTTTGCTGTTTTGCATGTTTTAAGTACAGCACATATTTCGACTGAGATGGCCCAACCACAATGTTAATGAAAGGTCAATGTGTGCGTCCCTTGTTAAAATATGCAAATTCAAATCAACCCTTCTTTTTAGGCACTCTTCAAAATTATCATACATTGTGAAGGACTCTCTTTCTGCGTTACATATTATAGTAAAAAAACCCATTAGAATAGTCTTTTTTTAAATTTAAATTTACGATATTATCTATATTTAAGGCAACAACTAAAAAAGCCACAATTTAAATTAAAGTGGTTGTAAACTCTTTACTTTTATTCAGGGACAATAATTGTCTTGACAATGCAATAAAGAATCGCTTAATGGATAAAAGAATTCGAAAAAATAACATGCACTGCAATTTGATATTTTGTAGAAATATTTTTAACATACAATCACGAGAGTAAAAACGAGGTTGAGATGTTTATTTATTTTTTTACTGACTCTTTTATAATCAGAAGCATTTTAAAATTTAGATTAAGATTTTTGGCAAATTCAACAATTTTACATAATTAGAGTTGTTCAATAATTTAAAATTCGTCCCTTGTATGATAAAAACTGTATACTGTCTTCTCGTATGCTATCACAGCCACCAACGGGTTGCTGTGATGATGTACTTGCAGAATTAAGTGACTGTAATACCTAGGGCTTAGTAAAATACAGTTGCTTACGTATATGAAATCTTTGAATGCTTCCAGAATGGTCTATAGAGGATTTTCTTTACAATAAGTGCTATACTCAACATTTCCATATAATAATTTTACTATAAATCATAAGTTCAATATCAGTAAAAAGATAGTCTTTATAGTATAGTGATATACATTTGTAACAATAGCTTAAACCCTACTATACTTTTTTTCTGTTGTATAATTCTAATGAAATTTCGAAGGCAGATATTGATCTAGGTGAAAGCCAATAAGACCCGCCATCAGTCGGAGAGGCAGTGTCAGCTGACAGCTGTTGGGATGATTACCAACCACTCTTCTGATGACAGATCACAACTCAGTTGCACAACTAGTTTTAACTAAATTTGCCTTTATCAAATTATACCCTATCACTTACTCGTAATCTAATTTGTTCGTAAACTTTTTACTTAGCATTTGAATTATTGGATTTGTTTAGAAATAGTCGTACGAGATAGTAAAAAATTCATTAGGTTTTTATTTAATTTAACAGTTTTTCTTAACTAAAAAATCCAGGTGGGAGTATTTTGCTTTCCTTAGATCATTCTAATCCAGTACATTTTCAGATCTATTTCAGAGTTCACAATATTATTATTTTTAAACATAGCTTAATTGAATGTATGGAAAAACACCAAAAAGACCTCAACCTAAATTGAGCAAGCCTTTATTTTACTTTCCTAAGGTATACCATCCTAGCTTTTAATGTTTTGCGTAAAAAAAACTCAGCTTTCGAGATGTATTGTTTTTGCTCTAATTCAATTGTAATTTATTTTAAGAAACAGTATATTTTTACCTTTATCAAACAATGTGATACTGCTCCATTAATAATGAATTATACGTTCCATTTACTCTGAGGTTCCATTAACTTTAAAATACTTTAAGCTAATACTAAACATGACTGCTAATTGTATAACTGCCTTTTAGCGCCGGAAAGGAAGATAGAAGTTTTCCAGACCAAGACAGACCTCCAAGGAGTGAACGTTTCCTGCAGAGCCCTCGGGGTCTTCCCAGAGCCCAAGATGGTCCTTTACAAAGGCAACGACATCAAGAAAATGTAAGAAATATTTTGTCATAACATTTTTTTCCTACAGTTTTGGATCAATCGTTAATCATAAACGTCTTTATCGGAGCTCCATGCTATGGCTTGTTCAAGTTAAGTCAAATCACGATGACAAAAAGAAATGTGAAAGCTGATCACGACACTAACACACTTTGTCCACAAATTTTAGTTGTTATTTTTACACCCCCTGCTCTACAAATTGTATTTACCTACATAATTTGTTTTAAAAGTTTCTTTTTCTAAATTTGTATAATGATTGAGGTATTAAAAAGAAATAGCTACTTTGATTTTTACTGCTATTTAGTATTAGGAACTATCTTTGTTTGTTTTATTTTTGATTATTTTTGTAAAATCTTTTTATCGCACACTTTTAAGTTTGTACATTTTAATTTGTGGGGTCATATTTTTTCATTTTTTTCATTAATATAGATCTTGAATTAGTACTTAATGAGCAAAGTACCTCCACAATTTTCGTGGTTTTTGGCCACCTTTTCATATGGAAAATTTATGGGAGGTTGCTCAAGAATTTTTTTATAGAACGACTCACAAAGAGTTATTTGTTATGTTTTGAACAACTTTGAAAATGTTTTCGAGGACGTACCATGATAGTACCTAGACATGATAGTTACCTACTATGTAACTACCAATGATTATAAAAAATAGCGGCTTAAGCTGTCAACTGGCAATGTCAATTGATTGCAGCGTCTAAATTGTTTGTCTGTTGGTTTAAGAGTCCATCGCTAATGTATGTGATTGAGTTTTGAGGAAAAAAGTCTATTAATTTCCTGATATAAGGACACTGCCTCCATTTCATGCTTAGTTTGTTTTGTTAAACAATAACATAGTGAAATTATAGGAGTTAAATTTTTATCACCGTACTAGGTCGAAACTATTCATCGGAAATTCATCCATAACTTACAACAAACTATTTTATAAACAAATATGGATGGCATTTATTGTTTGCTTGAATTTTCTTTCTAAAATGTAGACCTACTTTCTTGAGTCTACAATTTTTTGCAGTTTTTACGTGGCCAATTATATTATATTTCAATATTTGGTTTATTTAAAAAGGAAAATAAATAGTTGAGTAATGGTTTATTCAAGGGGGTTAAGCCTCCATTCTTTTACTTATTTGTTATTTTACTTAGTCCACATTTACACTGAAAACATTTATACTGTTTGTGTGGACACCTTTCATCAAAATATTCTTCACAAAAACTGAAAAGAATGGAATCCCACCAAAACAAAGTTTAAATCAGGAGGATATCACCCTGATCGGTAGTTTTTTTATGAATAAAACACTTTCGTAATATAATCTAAAAGCTCATTTGGAATATTTTCTTGCCTCTGTATACTATTGTGTAAAGCAATTAATTTCCTTAACATATTTAAGTAGTTTCTTTTATTAAGTAGACCACAGTAGTAGGGTATATGGTGTAACCTGAATCTAATACTGCTGTTCAATCTGTTGCTGTTTCTAACATTCTCGTACCATATAATTTTTGAAGTAATTGTTCACTTTCTACCATACCTATGTTCCAGGACACTGATGACGTCAGCAAGCCTAGAGTCGGTGTCACATGATGGAGTTTATGACGTCACCATTACAGGGTTTCTTCACGACGAGGAGCTCAACTCGCCAGTCATTGTCGACTGTGAGCTCAGCATTCCCGAAACCTCCTACACGCGGAGGAAGCTGATGCACTACTACCCAGGTCGGTATATGGGACAAGCAAAACATGATCTATGTGAAAACATTTACGTTAAAAATAAATAATGGTGATTTATAATGTGTTTGTGAAAATGTGTCTCATTTAAATGCGAAATTTCAGTATATTTCGAAAAAAATTAAATTGATTAAATGTTATAACGCTTAAATAATTAAGTATACTATTTTACAATGTTACGCTGTTAATATTTTTGGTTATATGACTTAGTTGAGCAAACAGGCTTTTAAAAGTATCACCCTGGATAACCTTTTTGTGTATAAAAATACGGATATGTCATATAGCAAAAATACACATTTAAGAATCACAAACAGATATTTTTACTGTTATAAATTATGTTTCGAAATGTGTTTAATGAGAGGACTCCTCGTTGATAAATAAAAATTGAATATGAAAGAAAATTACTTACTTAGTAATAGGGTCCTTGATCAATAGAGGTTTTAATTTATAACAATGTTAAGATTATAGCGCAATGCTCATTGAAGACTATTTTATAGGAAACACATGCAATATTGGTTATTACTATTAATAAACATTAGTTTGTTAATCTTAAATGTGACGTTGAGGCCATCCTTCAAGCTAATAAGGTTGATCTCGATCGGCCTCAACCTTAGGAAGGAAACAAAAATGGGAAGTTATAGTAATAGTTGAAAAGGCCTATCCCGCAGTAATGTGCTAGACATTTCCAGGCTAGTGTCCTAGGAGATGAGGGGTTTTACTCAGCAGTCCGTGGACATTACTCCCAAAGGAGTCCTGCACTACTGAGGGAACGTTGAGCCTCTCAATGTGTGCGTAAACGCTTTTTAACCTCCTCCGCCTAATTTCCACCAAACCTCCTAACCTAAATGTTAAAGGTTCTCTAGGTAAGAAAATGCTTGGCCAATAATACACTTGCAATTGAATTATAAGTAATGCCGCGGTAACCTTATTTATGTATTGTTTCAGGAAGAGCTCTTGCGTGGATAGGTAAGTAAACATATTTAATACGTGCGAGTGAATCTTCTAGATTTTATGATAACATTTTTTATAACACAGAAAAAATATTTATTGAACTTAAGATTTGTGGAAATACGATTAATGACATATATAAATCTTTTAAAGTAAACATTAAAAAAAATGTATTCCAAACCTGTTCTTTCCAAACAGGATACTGTAATTTAGAATCCACAGATAAAAATCTCAGTGTTTCTGAAATAAAAACGATTATTTAAGATAATTATAAACAATATATATATTTACAAAATAAACATTATGAAACGAAATTAATAAATAACAAACAAAGACTATTTCATTTGGGAACAACTCTAATTGACAGGTCAAACTTACTAGCAAATTCAATTGTTATCAAGAGCTATCTATCTGATGTATAAAATTATTTGTTTTTTAACTCCATGTTATTGTTCACATTAATCTCTGTTTGCAGCAGATGACACCAGTGGTGCAGTGCTTCTACGGGTGAACTACTCGGGAATCGCAATGTTGTTTGTTCTGTTGAATTGTTGCTTGAAATCATGATCAAGCAGTGATTGGACTTTGTGAAGAACTATTTTTAATATTCATCTGTGCCATAGATCACATATCTAACCATATTTTGGAATATATTGTCTACCAAACATTGTACTCGTATATGTGCTAACAGTAGAGGTTCAACCAATCTTGGCTGAAATAATTAACTACATAAAATTTAGAATTTCTTTAATTGGATAGGTGTCAATTATTCGATAAACATAATCCTTAGTGTCGACTAAATATTTAGAATCTCTCCACGTTTCAACCAAGATTGGTAAAAAGCTAACTTGTTTTGATCTAATTAACTAAGTTGTTTATCGTTGATTAAGCTTTGTCAAGAAAACTAAATAACGTTTATGAGAGTTTATAATTACGTATTTAATATACTATTTTCTTGTGCTTTTTATCTTTGTTTTATTACACTACCTTTCCTGGAATTCATATTTTTGTGAGAGATAAATCTTAAATGTTATAATGCAAATAAAACAAATAAGACACAATAAGCTATTCAAATGGTCGTTGTTACCTTATATGCCTAGTTTTACCTGCTTAATTTTTACCTGTAAATATACAAAACTGTATATTTCCAAGCTTTATCATAAAAACAGTCGAATGCTATAGTTAAACATGACGGAGGAAAAGTTATGTCGTTCCTAGTATAAATACTTAAAATTTCTTCCCTTTCTCTATTCAAAGTACTGAAGTGGTCAGTCGGAATACTTCAGTTAAAGTCTATTAACAATCCTTAACTATCTATCTAGTTTAGTGTTTATAATGCACTTGATTTAACTGAACACTAAAGTCCAGTCAAACCTGCTTCACAATCCTTACTATATTAATTAATTAATTCAGTCCATGGCTTAAATAGTTTAACTACGTCATAAGACTTCATTTTTTAATTACAACTATTTTGAACATATGTATATGATGGAATAAAATGAAATGTAACATGGTGAGATTGCAAATTTTTAAATTACTTGTAGTCTGTGTGTTGTGCAGTTGTACAATGTGAATCACGCGTAACTTAAACCCTGATGTTTGGGACGTATTTGCTCTACAGTTTTGTAAAGATTTCTGATGATCCAAAAACTAATCACTGAATCTTTAAGGTTAACAAACGACAGGTTAACATTTTTTCATTATATTGATGGATATAGTTTAATAATTTTCATCAGCAAAAGACCCATTTAATCAACAAACTTTTTACAAATCAAATATCTTACTACATTTCCATGATTTAATCTATTTTTACATAACATCAATTACCAAACACTTAACTTCATGGTTTTAATATCTTTCTTCCTCGGTAATGCAGTACACATTAACGACATTAACGTACATTAACGAGGTAGATTGTTTGTAATCTACCTAAAAGAGACAGGAATACTAATTATATAAAAATGTAATCTGGCAGGATCATTTCGATTGGAATCATCCTGTTTAGTTAGACAAATGTTTTCGCCGCAATATTTTGTTAGAGGTCAACACGTACTTGGCCTATACACAAGTCATAGATGTATTAAAGCGTAAGGGGTGGATTGGTAATACGCTTGTTAATAACATTTAAAATAAAGATTCTGTATTTTGGGAGAAAACAAAGCTATTATTCCAAAACATTGATAAGGTTGGTGTTTATTATAAAGTTCTACCCATCGCATTCCGATTTTGTGAAAAAAGAAAACTTTTACGCATACAAAAACCTATGTGGTAGTCTTTGATGTTGAAGGATTAGTAAAAATTACTCAATTTTAGCACTTATCTAGCCCCAACCCAATGTGATCAAAAACCCCTTACAAGGACACCAAGAACAACAATAATTATAATAAACTATTTATGAAGCTTTAGTAAAGAAATTAATTAAAAATACAACAAAAATGAACTAATACGTTAAGTCTGTTTAAAAGGAGTCACATCTGCTATGCTTTATCTAAAGACGTAGATTAATTAAATAGTTTTACTAATTTAGATGTTTACAACCTACATGATCACTAGACCGGAATACATTGACATGCAATTAAAACAGACATCAGTTGTTGAAAACACCAGTTAGTGTGTAAATAATACTTCTAACTACTCTAAAAACCTAAATTGAAAACGAAATCAATATATGACCAATATATGATTGTTTTATAGTGTTAAGTCTTGAATAATAAATAATTAACCATACTCTCCAAAACAGTTGAGGCATTTATAAATCAACCCGTAACATACAGGGTTAGGCAAAAGTATGGATACACACAAAAACTTGCCAATGAGTTTGACAGAAAATTCAAACTCTGCACACATTAATAGCATAAAAATACACTTTTTGGTTGATATGACAATTTTGATTGGTACCCAAAAATGGATTATTTTAATGACAGTTTTATTAATTTTAAATGTAAAAGCCTTAGGTGACACATAATTTAAAGTCCATCATAAAATAATAATACCAGCGACATTTTAGGTATCTATCTTAACCTTGTACGACATGGTCATTTAAAAATGAATTAAAATACATTTATATGGGTCATAGGCTGAAATAAAATTAAAATAACCACTAATGCATATGGAGTTGTGATGGAGACCCTTTAATTTCGTCAACATCTTTCTTTCTTAAAGGCCTTTAAAACAAGGTGTCATTCGAATGGCATTATATTAAAATAGCTACGGTTGTTATTTACTGAATTAATATTGATAAATAATTAATAATGAGGTTGATTTAACGTTCAGTTACGTATTAATGTTACAATTACTTATGTGTATAATCATTCTTACTTAATGTGCATGACCAATGAGCTTCAACCCTCAATCGGTTATAATTTCATTATGTTCTCCATTCAAGTTAACTTCCGGGCTAACAGCGAACAAAACAACTATGTTTGGCAATTGCTTAGTAATGATAGTTTGTTGATGAAGGAAGCTTTTATTAGTTTTAGAATTTCGTGAAGAACTATGGAAAATGAATAAAAACAAATCAAAATTTGACCGACTAAGTGAAATCGTTTGCTGTAAATAAGCTCTTAAAATCTTTTGCCAGATATACTAAATGCAGTTTGGATAAACGCAAAAATAATTCAAATATTTATTCATTAAAATATTTCGTATCTTTATTTAGATTTCTATGTTTAACATAACGGACGTTTAACAACGTTTCCTCAAATCATTTAGCATAAATGAAAGATACTAATATTTATTTTGCTGAATGAAATTCATTGCAATTACTTATAAAATCTCCATGAGAATAGCACTGCCACAATTTTGATCTGTCTAATATCCAAACTAACATCGAGAATTCTTTTTCTTGCTTGTCATAAGCACCCCAGTATTTTCTTACGGCCACTTTTACGTGTGTATTTTTATTGAACACATTTATTGCAACCTTTAAAGTATAGGTAAAACCTTCCCAATAAAAATGTATAACTTACTACTTTTGAAATGCGTTATTTTAGTAAAAGTGGTAGCAAGGCACGATCTTAAGTAATTTTTATATTAATTTACCACTGATATTGATAACGCACTACCCTGATCACTCCACTCCTACTTTCTAAAATATTCCACACGCAATTAAGAAAATTATTTATTTTAAGATTGATAAGACCCAGATAGATAAATCTAACATATAAACATCTATTAATTGGTATACCACAAACTAATTAAGAAACCTTTAATAATTAATTGTCATTTCATTTAGCAATATAAATTAAGGCCATAATAACAGCACGACTTAATAAGATTATTTGTTTTTATCTTTGAAAAGTATGCACAACTCAAAACTATGGGAACTTTGGAACTACCAGCTGAGTTTTAGGAGGGTTTCAAAATTAAAATTGGGCCATATCCATCTATGGTATATGGGCTAAATGTGAAAAGTCTCAGGTCAATAGTACCTACATTATAGTTTTCCCCTGATTGGCCAATGACCATGTGAAATACACACAAGCCTCAAAACTTTCACACATATAATATTAGCAAGATATAATAGGATTATAAAATACAACATTGTTTTAAATAGGATAATATACATAAGTATGATGTTAATGAAGATAATTTAGATAATTGGAGGGGTTTAATGTACAATTATACTGTATAAAACACCATAGTTTCAAACCAAACAAAAATCAAGTGAATATGAAATCCGTCGTACTTAACTCATCCCTTGGTAAATTACAAAACTATCCTTCATGATACATCTTAAATGAAAGAGTATCATAAAGAAAATGCTATTCTTCTTGTTTCTCTTAGTAAGACTATTTTTAATAAAATAGTATACTTTAATCATGAAAAAAGTATTTTACTGCTAAGACGTGTTGCTACTATTTTTGAAGAATTGTTTGTTGATAAAACACTAAATTTCTTGCACTCACTACAGTACCACTTCCGATATGTGGCCCGTCACTTGTGTTAAGTGGAATATTAACGAAATTTAAGTACTAAGAATCGAATATCAATTTTTATTATATTTCTTATATTTTATTAGCTTCTTCGGGAATCTTAGTTTCGAATCATATCGAAAAATCGGCACATTTTATTATGCTAAAGTTACGCCAATCCTCATACAGTTTTAAGCCATATGATGATGGATTTACAAAATTAAAGCCGCAAAAACATTGGTATAAAAACGATTCTGCAACCACCACTATGTAACAGATTAGAAATTACCATTTTAATTGAAAAATAACGTTGCCGTCCAGTTATTGAATTGCCAATATAGGATTAGGAATTTATTTAACTTAACGTTTACAAACACAGTCCGTTGTTGATAATCATCCATGATACGAAGTCAATATGATTTAATCAAGCGAATCAGATCTTTAAATGTCATTAAACATTTTATGGTAGTATTTGTTATTAGTATTGTTACCAGATAAACTATTACTGTATACATGTAACCTTTTTAGTAGTACAGTAGTGAAATATTCTGGTAAAAATGACTAACAAACAAACATTTTTATAGGCTACTGATATACTTGGACTGGTTTTTGTACAGAAATAAAATATATGGGTATGTAAAAGAACATAAGTTTTAAATTTATACATTTATAGGTAGAAACATGATATTTATAACGCAAAAATATTAAAATAATTCAAATATATTTGTTAGTAAATTTGTTTTTTTTTAACAGTACGTTCTAAAATTTATTAAATAAAACGTAAACAATATGCAGCTACAGAATCACTGGTAATTTACCCGATTTTAATCAGTCTTCAGTTTAAAATAATAGTAAATTTACAATTTAGAACACTTATTGGTTATACCCTTAAAAATATGTTTATTGACGTTTTAATCGTGGTTAAATAAACCGAAAAACAATCCTTAAATAAAAAACAACAAGTAGAGGACAGCCTACATTTTTTATGTGCATCGTGACTTGGTTCTTCTAAGTCGTGTTTTGGCACAAACAAGCTCACAAACATTGATGGT